ACAGACAGAGACTGAAGCTCTCAAAACCTGTGGTGAGGACATCCAAAAAGTGTACCAGTGAACCTGTGGAGGAGCTACGCACGTGTTTGGACACCACAGACTGGGACCTGTTCAGGGCTTCTACAGACAGTCTAGACGAATACACAAACACTGTGACGTCATATAAACATTTCTGTAAGGACAGCATCATCCCATCACGCTCCAGTCATTTTCAATAATGATAAACCTTGGTTCACATACAAACTAAGAAAGCTTAGTCAGCAGAAGGAGGCTGCTTTCAGAGAGGGGGACAGAGACAACTACAGACGTGCAAAGTATGGATTTAGAAGGGAGGTGTCGAAGGCTAAATCCAGGTACAACACACAGCTGGAACAACAGTTCTCTGAAAATGACTCTGCCTCTGTCTGGAGGGGGCTGAAAGAGATAACTAATTACAAGCCCAGAGCACCTCATTCTACAGACAATCTCAAACTGGCAAACGATCTGAACGACTTCTATTCACGCTTTTGAAGTCATGGACTCACATTCCTCCATCCTCCACACCAACCCCAGCTCAACTGGTTTAACCACTTGGGACTGCCCTCGACAACCCCCTGCTATCTCTGTAGAAGAGGATGAAGTAAGGAGGCTTTATAAAAGGCTGAACACACATAAGGCTGCAGGCCCAGATCTTGTGTCACCCTCCATGCTGAAACATTGTGCTAGAGAGTTGGCTTCGGTCTTCGCAGGGATCTTCAACTCTTCTCTGGAGTCATGCCACGTCCCAGCCTGTTTCAAGTCCTCCATCATCGTCCCTGTCCCCAAGAAGCCACGTGTCACAGGACTAAATGACCACAGACCTGTAACTCTCAAGTGTGTAGTCATGAAAACCTTTGAACGTTTGGTTTCATCTCACCTCAAGTCCATCACCAACCCCCTCCTGGACCCCCTGCAGTTTACCTACAGGGCCAACAGGTCTGTAGATGACGCAATAAACCTGGCTCTTCACTTCATCCTGCAGCACCTTGACTCCCCAAGAACCTACGCCAGGGTCCTGTTTGTGGACTTCAGCTCTGCATTTAACACCATCCTCCCTGCTCTGCTCCAAGACAAGCTCTCCCTGCTCCATGTACCTGACTCCACCTGCAGGTGGATAACAGACTTCCTGACAGGCCGGAGTCAGTGCGTGCGGCTGGGGAGAGCTGTCTCGGAAACTCAGAATGTAAGCACAGGATCTCCACAGGGCTGTGCGCTTTTCCCCCTGCTTTTCTCCCTGTACACCAACTGCTGCACCTCCAGCCATGACTCTGTGGAACTTATTAAGTTTGCAGATGACACCACCCTCATCGGGCTCATCTCGGACGGTGATGAGTCTGCATACAGGAGGGAGGTGGAACGGCTGGTGACCTGGTGCAGCAGCAACAACCTGGAACTCAATGCCCGGAAGACAGTGGAGATGATTGTGGATTTCAGGAAAGCCACAGCCCCTCCGCCCCCCCCCACCTGTAATGATACCTCCATCACCACTACGAACTCTTATCGGTTCCTCGGCACTACCATCACCCAAGACCTCAAGTGGGAGCTGACCATCAGCTCCCTCATCAAGAAGGCCCAGCAGAGACTGTACTTCCTGCGACAGCTGAAGAAGGCCAAGCTGCCAGCCAAGCTGATGGTGCAGTTCTACACGGCCATCATCGAGTCCATCCTCAGCTCCTCCATCACGGTGTGGTATGCCGGGGCTACTGCCAGGGACAGACTCAGACTTCAGCATGTTGTGCGCTCAGCTGAGAAGGTGATCGGCTGCAGCCTTCCATCCCTCCACGACCTGTACATCTCCAGGACTGTGAGGCGAGCAGGTCGGATCACAGCTGACCCTGCTCACCCTGCACACGGTCTGTTCGAACCACTCCCCTCAGGCAGGAGGCTTCAGTCCATTCGGACCAGAACCTCCCGCCATGAGAACAGTTTCTTCCCCTCTGCTGTTGGACTCCTGAACACTCATAATGTTACCACATAATTTCTACTTTGGTCACATTACATCTGTATTATAATTGAATACTCCATCTGTACTGTTTTCTAAGCTTTTTTATTGTTTTCTATTGTATGGGTGTACACATGTAGTGAACTTAACCTGATGTCAAGACTAAGCCTAAGGTCAAAACCCTTGATCTTAAGAACCTTGTGGGACAGGAACTGTCATTTCATTGATTTGAATCCAGAAATACAGGTTCACCCATCCTGAGACTCTCTTTCTTGAAAATCAAGTGGAAGAACACTCTCTTTTTATTATCATTACTATTTTACAAATGTTGATAATCAATGTGTCTTAGTTCAAACCATTTTAGATGTTGCAGTGAACTAATCAATTTTATTAACTGTGAAACAGTGTAATGATTTTTAATGCTTATGCAAAGGTAGAATTCATGTTAAAGCTGTTACAGAGTAATTATGCATTTTCTGATTTCTGTCTTTGAATGAGCAAGTGTGCGTTTTCCGAGGTCAGGAGTCGAAGCAGACATGTGTTGGAACAACTGCCTTGTTTTTACATCCTCTCAGACGTCAACAGGGGGGTTTTGCACCTGTTTCTAAAACTCGCCAAAACAAAACACTCTCTGTCTGTGAGAACAGTTTAATCTGTTCAATAACATTCTTGCTGTCTTCTGACTTTTAGTAACCCTCTTACATCACAAAACACACCCCTGTCTGGTCGGTACTGACCAATGGGAAGACTCCCGAATGAACCGGGAAAAGAGCTCTTTAAAATGTCGGTACTTCCTGGTTTACCCAGTTCTGTGGGTTTGGAGAAGTTCGGCGGTGCGGACAGTTCTGATATGTCCTAGTGCTGGCAGTTGCTGTGGGAGCCGGGAAGACCCTGACATGACCACAGAGCTCTTCCGAGTTTCATGGGATTATAACATTTTCCACCGAGGTGAGCTTGTGTCGGACAGAATCTCGCCATTACTCCGGACGATTCACAGCCATCCTACGGAGACGCTGAAAGGGTGCGTTAAACGGAATCTCGCCTGAGACATCTCCAGGTAAAAGAGTCGATTTCACCACCTAAGTGTACTGTAAGGAAGAAGCTGAAGAAAGCCCGGAGAGTGCCGTTCTGTTCAACACTCTCCCTCAAACACCATCTTTCACCCCCTTTAAACTTCATCTTTTCATCTTTAAATTCTTCTCTAAAGTAGAAATCCTTCCAGATAATTTAGAAATATCTGTGTAAAGTGCTCATCCACCGCCGTGTGGATAATTGAACATAATTGTACAGTTTTCATAAATGTCTGTGGTGAAGCAACGGAAAATCATGGCCGTATGGTTTTCCTGATTGATTATGTGTTATTTTCATATTTTGCCAAGTTAATGTAAATGTTTGATGTTAAACTTTGATTCTGTAAATAAATGACCGCATTCATTTTGATGGGTCAAAGATAAATGACGTCTCACGTTTGCATTTCATTAAATTCAATGCACGTTTTATTCAGTCCAGAAAAATGAGGAATCCGTGTTAATTGATGAATATATCTGAGCATCTGTTCATCTACACACATGTTTTATGTTATGTTTTCATTTTTACTTTATATATGGGTGTACACATGTTTTATGTAATGTTTTCATTTTTACTTTATTTTACTTTATTACTATTTGCACCTTTATGTCGAAGCAAATTCCTAGTTTGTGAACCTCGTTCATTGACATGGCAATAATAAACTGATTCTGATAAATAAACCGAATTGAATTGAATTGTTATTTCTGAAGTTTACAGTTCATCTGGACTGGATCCTCCAGAGAATCTCAGCACATTCCACCAGAGGATTTACATACTTCATGGCTCTGCATGGAGAGATGACAGTGGAGAATATTTGTATGGCAGCTGCCTGGTCATCGCCATGTTCAATTATTCGTTTTTATCTATGTGATGTTTTTACTTTCTCCATAACCCATTCTGTCCTCAGGGTTCTGACAGAATGATTTTTTGTTTCATGGAGCTTCACTTTTGAGCTCACACCTGCCTGCATGCAGTCGCAGTGTGAGATATTTATTATCAGTCACAAGTTCATGACTGCTGATGTTGTTATTAACCGGTTCATCCTGAGGAGCTGTTGGTCTGCTCTGTTTATCGTTACACTGTTACAATTCGTATTCTCCATTGTTCTTATTCACAACAGCAGGTCTGCTATCTCAGCCTTTTTTTCCTCACCAGAGATCTTCTCCGGTGCGCTCCTGCGCATGGAGCATGCAATTACGCAGCGCGTAATTACGCAGCGCGTAATTACGCGCACAGAAGGCTGAGTGATGAAATGTTTTTTTGTGCAAGCAGGTGCTTCATGTTGTGTCTGAGTGGACCCAGTGAGGCATAGACTACATCCTGCTTCGCCTTTAACCCACTAGCGATAGCCTTAAAGGGCGAAGCCTATACGAAATAGAACGTTGGTTAAGTACTGTAACCCCAGATTGTATGAGTAAAGGCGTAGCCATTTAAGCTCTGGGCCTCACTGGTTCCTAAATGGCTGAAGAAAAAAGCTATTTGGGAGCCGATTACCCAGTCTCACCTTAATTTATACAGACCAGGGGTGAGGCCCACACACAGCAGGTGGGCGTGGACTAAAGTTTTCAGTGCTGCGCTGAGCGCCAAGGGATAAACCCACTAGCGACAGTCTTAAAGGGCTACGCCTATACTCATAGAATCTGGGGTTACAGTATGTAAGCAACGTTTTCTTATATAAATATATTATATATTTGACCTTTTATATGTGCACTGAATTAATACATTTTTTTACATAAATTATTTATACTTTTTTATTGAAATTAATTTAAAACAAGGATATTACAAAAACAATGTTACATGTTAAATACAGTGCAGTTATTGTTTTGACCATAATTATTTTATATTTGTGGGAAAAAACATCTACAATGGTTTTCTATCATGATTTGTAGATGCATTATTGAAAAGTTTCAACACCAGATAATCAGCTGTTTGGCCTATGGCCATGTTTGCTGTTGAAGTTTGATACTGATTTTTACATCCGGGGAAGGAAGTGTGTCACAGTCATTGTTGGAGTGACGCGGTTTCCTCTTTTGGTTTTTCCAGTCTTGCTGAGAGCAATGAACATGTCGGGGTGGGCGACGGATTCATAGGCATTATAGTTGTTGGCCAGAAGAGTCTCCTTGAAGTTGCAGTCATTGCTGTAGTTTCCCTGAGAAAAATAAACAAAAATGATAAAACATTTAGTTTTATTGACGGTTTTAGCTTTTTAAAGAATCTTGTGATTTTTTTTTTTTTGGTCTTTTTGGGGGATGGAGGTGGAGTGGGTGGATACAAGTAGGAGAATACTGAGGAAACTGAACATGTCACAAAGCACAAAGATGTCAGACTGAAGAGTAGTGAGAACAGGGGGAGGATAAACAGGCTGGGGGTGTGGGAGGTGGCTGCAGCTGAGATTAACCCTTGTATCGTTCTCTCACTTTCACTGCAACTAGTCGGCGTGAAATTTTAAAACGTGTGAGATGCCCTAGAATCGACTAGTCGACCCAACCCCTAGTTCAAAGACAGGAAGATAAGAGCTTAACTGAAAAAAAATTGCCAAAAAAATCCCATTCATGGGGGTTTGACTAGAGCACATGCTATAGTGTAGACGCACCTGCTCTGAGCTCCCAACCGATTTGTTACTATTCAAGCAATATAACATTTCTGATTTAGTTGAACCAGCTAGAAGGTTGTATACTACAATATACTGTGTTTGTGTACTCATGGCTACCAGGAGGGAACAAAAACAGCAGAGTAATATCCAGAAAGCAAACGTGGGGCAAGAGGCTAATGCCGGCAACAGATGACTCTCCAAGCCATCGCCCCAGCTGAAGGCAAACATGGACACATCCGCTATTCTATCAGCAATAACTGATTTGAGTAAGAAGATGGATGACAGATTTAACAACCTGGAGGCATCTCTACAACATATGCAGGCCACTCTGACAGACCACGAAGACTGGATTTCTACTTTGGAGGCGACCGGCTGCGACCATGACGCTAGTCTGTTCCAGCTAAAACAACACTGCTTGCAGCTGGAGGAGAGTCACAAACTACTCCAACATAAGATCATCGACCTTGAAGCGCGCTTTCGGCGCCAAAATATAAAAGTGGTGGGCTTACCAGAAAGAGCAGAAGGTAACAACCCTATAGACTTTTTCGCCAACTTTTTGCGTGATTTTCTGGGACCGGCTAACTTCTCCACTCCGATAGAGGTTGACAGAGCTCCCAGACTGAGACAGCCCCCGGACGCTGGAGTGTGTCCCAGTGTCATGATAGCCCAGATTCACAACTTGCGAGTTAAAGAGAAAATACTGCGGCTGGCGCGTGAGAAAACCCCTCTGACATATGACAAGACAGATCTTCATCTTCCCTGATTTTCCGGCAGAGATCATTAAGCAGCGCCAGCCATTTGAGGAGGTGAGGAAGAAACTGAAGGAAGCCGGAAATCGCACTGGATTTCTTTATCATGCACTGCTCAGATTTACTAAAGGTACTGACATTAATAAGATCTTCAACACCCCAAGAGATGCTGATCACTTTCTGCTCAGCTACCAGGCCACATAGGAGGGGTGACAGCTGTGAACTTGTCTGTTTGGTATGCGTTACCTATGTGATGATAATGATTTGACTAACAAGACGTCACCTGGTGACAACCAGCTGGAGCACAGAACTGTTGTTGGTTCTGGGTTATTATTTAACAATATACATTTTTTTTCTTTCTTTAGACCAACATCAGGTTTCTTTTTGATTTTTGTCTTTGAAATGTTGAAATAAAATTTATGGTTAGTTATTGGCTGGGACATTATATAGTTTTGTAAGTTGTATATCTAGTGATATTACTGGTTAGGTTTAACTTGTATAAGACCCCTGAGGACAGCATGTCAGGATTGTTCCTCTCGCTTTGTTTGGGAAGGTGGGAGTTTGGGGTGGGGAAATGTAAGTTCACTTTATGTGTTTTTCTTAAAATGTTATCCTGATGCATGCTCAATAATCCAGGTAGAAAAATCCAAAAAAGTTCAATCTGGTCCTCTGGACATTCAAAAAAAACAAAAGCAAAACAAAGCAAAAAAAACCCTAGACACATTTCGTCTCTCATCCAAGAGACTTCCTCAGTCTGAGGTGCTGTTTTCTCCGGGTTCAACTGTCCCCCTCTTACAATGCTGTGATTGCTAGTATCACTCAGCCCTCTGTGAGTAGTAAACAGCCATCAGTGTGCTAATGACCCATTGTTAGGCTGATGGTCCTTCTTGAGCATGTGATCAGCTGGTTTTGGTTGTCAGCAGCAAACTGGTTGATCCACTCTAAGAAGGTGCTATTTAAGAGACTGAGCTGAAAACAGCACCTCAGACTGAGGAAGTCTCTTGGATGAGAGACGAAACGTTTCTAGATTTTTTTTTTGCTTTGTTTTGCTTTTGTTTTTTTTTGAATGTCCAGAGGACCAGATTGAACTTTTTTGGATTCTTAAAATGTTATTTTTTTTTTACATAATCTTATCCATATTTTTGGCAATTCATTGTGTTGCTGTCCACATAACTCAATTTCCAATTATTTAGGACACCTAGAGGTAGAAATGAGGGCATCAATTTGGTCAGTTGGAATGTCCGCGGCCTAGGGCACCCAATCAAACGTGCTAAGGTATTTGCACACCTTAAATCTTTGGAGGCTGACGTGATGTTCCTTCAAGAGACTCATATCAGACCATCTGAACAGAAATCTTTATGTTGCAGATGGGTAGACAAAATATATCAGTCAACATTTTCCAACAAGGCTCGTGGGGTTGCGATTATTATTCGGAAAAACATACCTTTTAAACATATTTCAACACTTTATGATCAGAATGGTCAATATATCATTGTAACAGGTTATCTTTATTTTACTCATGTAACATTGTTGAATATTTATGGGCCCAATATTGATGACCCAGCATTTTTTAGAAAAAAATTTGAAAAATTATCTGACCTTTCAACCACAAATTTAATAGTTGCTGGAGACCATAACCATAACTCGACCCGTATCTTGACAGGTCAGCTAGCAAAATATTCAGCCCCTCTAATGCTTCTACTGTTCTAAATAATCTTATTACCACTATGTAACATATCATGAGACAGACGCTGATGTTTGGAAGACAACGCCCTTTATGCGTCATCATTCAGGTCTTTTATAACAGCACAGTGCCACCTACTGGCAATATAAAGTAATTAACTTGTCTCAATACAGTATACATCACATCTCCCTCTCTGAAGTTTTTTTTTTTTTTTCATAGTTCATAACAATTTCATAGTTAACTTTTAGCAAAATTCATAAATCACGTTAAGTCCATATAACGTCTTGGCCTTCTAACAGGTCTTCCACGGCGAGTTGTTCTCACAGGACTGTTAGAAGAAATAGTACTGTCAGTCACTACTGTTGGACTGTGTGGAACAGTGGAACAGTCTGGAGTAGAGCTAGATGGTTCAACACTTGGCTGTGTATCTTGCATGTTTCTTGCATCTTGAGGAGGTTCAGTACTTGGCCATGTGTTCTGTGTCTCCTCTTGATAAGAGTACTCTGGTATCCTGATGCATGCTCAATAATCCAGGTAGAAAAATCCAAAAAACTTCAATCTGGTCCTCTGGACATTCAAAAAAACAAAAGCAAAACAAAGCAAAAAAAAAAAATCTAGAAAAGTTTCATCTCTCATCCAAGAGACTTCCTCAGTCTGAGGTGCTGTTTTCAGCTCAGTCTCTTAAGAAGGTGCTATTTAAGAGACTGAGCTGAAAACAGCACCTCAGACTGAGGAAGTCTCTTGGATGAGAGACGAAAGGTTTCTAGATTTTTTTGGAGTACTCTGGTATATTATCATCAGGTATCCTTGGAAATTCAGTCTCTCTTGTTTTGAGCAGGTGTTTGCGGTTCCTCCTGTACAGTTCTCCAGTTGTGGTTTTGACAACATATGACCTTGGCTGACTGTGTTTTTGTGCCACAGTGGCTGGTTCCCATTTATTGCCTTGTATAATCCTCACTTTATCACCATCTTGGAGAACAGGCAGCATCCTGGTTCCTTGATCAAAGTATTGTTTCTGTCTTTGTTTACTATGTACTAGGCTGCTCCTGACATTTTCATGGAGAGCTGGTTGCAACAATATGTTTGTCACAGGTATTTTTGACTTGAGCCTTCTTCCCATGAGCAGCTGAGCAGGTGATAATTCAACTCCACACACTGGTGTATTCCTGTATTCAAGCAATGCTAGATATGGGTCACCCCCACTGTCCTGTGCTTTTTTCAGTAGATTTTTTATTGTCTGAACTACTCTCTCAGCTTGTCCATTCGACTGAGGGTAAAAAGGACTTGATTTTGAATGTTTAAAACCCCATTCTTTACTAAATTCCACCATTTCTTGGCTCACCAGCTGTCTGCCATTATCAGAGACTAATTCATCTGGCACACCATGTCGTGCAAACACAGACTTCAGTCCAGTGATGACATGTTTGCTTGTTGTTGCTTTCAGTTTGATGATCTCCGGAAACTTTGAAAAATAATCCACACACAGTAGGTACTCTGCACAACTGAAGTGAAACAAGTCAATGCCAATCTTTGCCCATGCTCTTTCAGGCACCGGATGTGACATAAGTGGTTCTTTTTGATTTTTGTTCTTATGTGCATTACATACAGCACATCGAGCCACAACCTCTTCTATCTGTTTGCTCATCACCGGCCAGAACAGACCATCATGGGCTCACTCTTTACACTTCCCCATGCCCATGTGTGACTCGTGGATTTTCCTGAGCATTTCACTTCTCAATCTATGTGGTACTACCAACCTTGAATTCTTGAATATGAGTCCATCATCACATGACAGCTCTTCTCTGAAAGTCCAGTATTGTTTGATTTTATCTGGAACCTGTCTCTGTTTATCTGGCCAACCTCTTCCAATGGCATTTGCAACCAGTTTTAACTCAGCATCCTCTTTTGTTGCTTCTTTAAACTCCTGCATCTTTCCATCTGATACAGGGAGTTGTTGACTTACACAATTGACCTCCAGCTCTTCATCAAGAAGTTTCTCATGATGCTCATTTAGACATTCTCTGCTCAGAGCATCAGCAATATGCATATTCTTTCCTGATTTATATTTAACTTCAAGACTGTATTTTTGCAGTCTCAAGAGCATGCTTTGTAATCTTGCTGGA